CTTCACAGCAGCATCTGATCTTTTATTCATCACATTATCATTGTGCGTCTGCCTCTCTACTCTGATTCATCAGCACATTATGATATTGTTTTTGTTTGTGTCGCTCATAATGTGAGAAGGGCATACAACTATTTTCTTTTTAAATCTTGTTATCAGGTCAGCCTCTGGCAATGACCCCTTAACAAGCATGAGTGTGTACAGTATGTGTGTGTGTGTACGCGTCATATCAGTGATGCATCTACTGACTCATTCCTCCGCTCTCTTTTCTACTCTCTACGTAGGTGAGTTCAATATCTACTGCATTATGAAGAAATCAGTTCAACAGCTAACTCTTTTTGTTGTTAAAACTTAACAGTGCAGCCAGGCCTCCAGCTAACCTGCTCAATTAAACATTTATAGAGAGAGGCAGATGTGATTAATACTTCACTCAGCCCTTTAGGATTCCCTGCGTGTTAGCACTTGTGTTGCCGTGTTATGATGTAAGGGTCGCTGGCGGAGGAGATACTGACCGGGCCAGCTCAACTGGCAGTGCTACTTCACCCAAGCAACTACAACATCGGCTGTTTACCAACAGAGCTCTGTGCACAGGCCCTTTAATGCCAGCAGTACCCGGCAAACAGATCGAACATGACGCGGTATCCAAGGCTCGCAAGCAAACACTCGTGTCCTCACTGTGACTGGAAACAACACACACAGTCATTTAATCCATTGTTTTAATGAAAGATATTGATCATAGCTGCGTTAAATAGATCCATTTGAAGGAGGCGTGACCCCTTTAAAATAAACTCAGATATTAATGAAGTTTCAAACGTTTAACATAGATCTAGAGGTGGATGATTAGGTAGATGAGACCAAAATGGCAAGATAGCGGATCAGTAAAAGAACCATGTTAGTAAGGTTTCCTGCATATCCACTTCGAATGCAGAGGACATCAACCAGCCTTAACTTGAAGCCTGTTTGAAGAACAAAAACAACCCATGTATCTCAGACCGCGTGTGTGTGAATTAATTGGCATGGACCACAGACACGGTGTAGTTATGCCACATTTATAACACATATGTAACTCTTGACCTGATCCTAGTTTCCGCACGTGACTACTGTTGGAATTGTCACTGTCCGTGACATCATGTTGGTCAGCTCTCCGGTCATGCCTTTTTACAAGACCCCTTATCCAATTAAAGGAATGGAAGATTGGGAGATTTCTTTTATGTGAGAGATTTCTACAAACTCAAGCTCATTCTATAAACCTCTCACCATTTTGCAAACTGAACTGCTGCCATGAAGCTTTCCAGCTTTAACAGCCCGTCCCCGAGCGAAAGCAAGAGACGCTCAGAGCCAACAGAGTGACATCCCATGGGACTCACCTCACCAGGAGGTAGACGCCTGTTAAAATTTCACAGCCCAGGATGTGTGTCTGCGCGAGGTCACGACGAGTCTTTCCCTTCCTCTCACACTTCCATCAGATAATCTGTTTTAAGTCTCTTTTTGCCTCTTTCATCAGTAGCTTATTAAACAGTCACTGTGGGAACTAATGCGTGAAACAGGCAGAATTACTTCAGTCCTGTGAAATGAACTGCAGGGCATGTCTTTTACTGTATATTAAATAAGTAAGCTGAATTGAACATATATTTACAGACGAGGAATCAAAAATTATTTAAAATAAATGAATAAAGTTGTGTAAAAAGAGTCTTGGGTATACATATGTCTGTCTGTATTGTATATACAAATTGTAAAATAAAAAAATTGATTAGTAGGGAACAGAAAAGAGAAAAATTTCCTTTACTGTCACTCAAGACAGAGATTTAACGTTTTGTATTTTGGGCACGCAGCTAATGTTCTCAACAGTGAAACTTATACTGACTGCAATAAAGTTAAGTTCTTAGATGACCAACATTACAAGCAGCTAGGGAGGATGGTAAAGGTCAGAGCCATGGCGTCCTCGGAATATTTATACGATTGTAGAACATAGTTAGAGATAAGCTTTGGGGGGGGGGGGGGGAGTCAAAATGGGCAGGAGCAAAGGCGAAATCCTGATGATGTAAAAATTCATTTAAAAAAGAAAAAAAGCATTTCAACTGGTTACACTGATTTAATAGCTGCTGTTTTAACATGAATATTACAAACCACTTTTAGGTAATAACATGTTGTGGGACACATACTGGGTCCCATGAATAACGTGCAGAAAACAATACAATTCAATGTTTGGATTTTTTTAGGGCCAAGATCCAAGAAAGCAGCTGAAGTCAGATGTTATCATGGAAGTCAGAACTGTAAATAAAACAGCAACAATAACACGCACAATCCTTATTTCATGTCAACTCATATATATACGAATCGGCCATGTGTCATGGGAAGCCTTCCTCGAATGCTGTAATTCGACAATTCAGAATTGTTTCTTCTTTGATATCTCATTCTACCTGAATGGTGCTGGTGCAGCAGAAGGCCGGATGAAGAGGGGAGGATGAAGGAAGGAGCTCTCTCTTTCTTCCAAACCCACAGGGTCCCTCCTCTCCTCCGCCGATGGCCTGTAATTGGTGTTTAGCTCTGTTGTGGAGAGGCCTCAGCTGCCGGGTGGCTCCTCCGGCTGCCTTTTAACGTGTCACTGGTTTGTGTGTCCCATTGTGGCTTGTTCACTCTTCACTCGGGGAATAGCGAGCATGTACACGCGGGAAACTTGGGCTTTTCACCCAGCAGGGTGCAGGGGAAGCAAACCCACCAACAGCTGTGCTCCATCGTTCTTTGACGGAATGGAGGGATAGATGGGTAAAGATAGATTATTTCATCGAGTACACTAACTATTTTTTGAAAACTACTCTTTATATACCATTATTATCTTTGTTTTTTATTTACTTTCCTTAATGGTTGGTACTAACTGGCAGTGTAACTACATTTACTCAAGTACTGTGTACAATTGTAAAGTTCTTTTTTTAGTTTTTCTATTTTATACTACTTTATACTACATTATTTGACCACAGTTACTAGTTTCTTACAGATTATTAATACAAAATCTAAATATACAAATTATTAAAAATATATATAATATAAATCACTAATTATAATCCAGTGACAAAATATATATTATTCTGAAATAGGTCATTCTGTATAATGAGTACTTCTACTTTAGGTACTTTAAGTATATTTTGATGTTAGTTCTGTACCTTTACTTAAAGTAAATTCTGAATGCAGGAGTTTTACTTGTAACAGAGTCATTTTAAACCATAATGCTACATTTACTTAAGTAAAAGGGCACTTCTTTCCCCACTGCTACTCAGCCGGTGAAAACAGTTGAAAGTTTTATCAGAGTTCTCTTAACTTGGGCTAATATACAGTAGGATAACTAAACGGGTCTAATGGGCACAGGCCCAGGGGCCCAACGTGTCAGTGACCCCCCCCCTGGCCTTCACCTACAAAATGTCACTCAAAGAGAAAAGTACCAACCTGGAAGAGATCAAAACAAATACAACAAGATGCAAAACAGCTGCAAAGACACACAAAGAGACATCATAGTGACTTACAACAACTATGAAAAGGGGCAAAACAACCACAAAGAGATAAAAAAAAATGACTACAAAGAGACATACAATGACCACAAAGACAACACAATACAACTACAAAGACATGCAAAATTACTACAAAAGGCGCAAAACAACCACAGAGAAAAATGAATTTAAAAAAAGACCAAAACAATCACAAAGTGACACAAACTCAGAGAGATGTGTAAAGACTACAAAGAGACACAAAACAACAGCAAAAAGAGGCTACGACTACAAAGTCTGTGTGTATTGCTCTGATGTATGAAAATGGATCCTTTTGCATGTCTGTGCCCAGGGGCCCAATGTCTCATAATCCACCCACGCTTAGGCTTGAGACTTCATATGTCGTACTTGAAAGTATTGGGCATGTACAGCGGCAGGGAGGGTTCAATGAAAGACGCCATTGAGCAGCATCAGGAAATTTGCAGGATCCATTGTTTTTGGAGGTTGACAGAGCTAAAAGTCAGGATATCTCAGGCCCTGTTGCATCACCTTTAACCAATTCTTAAAACAATCTGACTCTTGTGAGTCCTTTTGTGCCACTTAACGAGTGACTGCTCCTTTTGCATATATCACTATTTTCAGCCCACACTTGTTCTAAAGACGACTCATATGTATGCACCACTTCCATAAGTCTGAGGCATGAAGCTCACTGAGGGCAGCAGCTTGCAGTCAAGAGGTGCCCCATAGGTGGCACTGTTGACTCTCATGAACGACCCGTGGCACAACAGGTTGCACCACTCCACTGCTCTCCTCACTGAATGGACACTAACGACCCATCCAGCAGGTTATGGGAGAGGTAAAATAAAAATGTAATGTGGGCTGTTTTATGTCATTTATAACCACTTTCCCCTTAGTTTGGAGCAATTTATTACATTTCACACAAGCTCAGATTTCTGTTATGTATATTGTGGATTACTCTGGAGTATATGCCAAGCCTCTCCTTATTATTTGATGATTTAAAACAGTGTTAAAATACTTCATACCATATGAAATAAATACACCCGATGAAGTGTCTGTTTTACTGTGATTATTGCATACCTCTCCCAGTCTCATGCTCATTTTCACCATTAAACATATAGCTAATCAAAAAAAGATGAGGTGCGGAGCCCCTTTCTAATTTGCCAGGAACCTTTTTTTTTTCCCCAACGGTTCGAAACCTTACATAAAAACACAATTCCCATGTGATGCGAGGCGGGGATTGAATGGCATAATACTTGCTGACGTGACGCCTTCAAACCCTCTAATTTGCCAATCCAGCCCGGAGTGCGCGTCCCCATACCCCCCCCCCCCCCCCCC